TTGACTATTTTTGACAATTTTTATGATTTGTAGACCAAAGGATAAATCAGTTATTCAAAAAAGAAACTATCAGTACAATATTTCAATAAATGAAAAATAATCAGTAGTTGCAGACCTAGAAAATAAAAGTCTATATACACCCTCATGCATGTTGGTCCTCTCAGTTTTAGCCATCTTCTCCGAGCGCCCTGAACAACAGACACAATCTTTAAAGATTCACGAAAGCTGCAAGGCGGGCTCACACAAAGTCCTTTGGGCTCAAAGACAAATACAAAAGAAATTAAAAAGGAACAAACAGCAGGACGTGCAGGAGCCTCTGAGCTCCATGACGGGAGATAAGAGGCTCCGCTGGTCGAGGACAACTTCAAACAGAAATCGCACAGATTTCTCAGGTGGCCGATTGTGCGCTCCAAACAGAATGAATCATCATCTGAGATGAAAGCACACGGGGGCTTGCTTTTGCAGAAAATAATAAAATACTAACATTTCAATTTCTTCCTTCGGGTTCCCTTACACAGCGACTGGTTTTCTGCAAAAGTACAAAAGAACCAGACAGATGGAAAATGTTCTGGATGAATACTAACTGAGCATGTGACGGGGATTAATCCTTAAATGACCTGACTGCAGGACAGAAACACTCTATTGTCACATTCTGACTCATTTCATCTACATTTGATGGAAGAAGTCGTCAAATCTTTCACTTTTCTGTAATAATACTAATTCCCAGGGGCGCCGTAAGGGGGTGAAAAGTTAGGACGATTCTAAGGGCCCGTGACTGACAGGGGCCCAAACTATTTTAGAAACATTAAGAAAAAAATGTATAAGTAACCAATGTGATATCTTTTCATGGGGCCCAAAATCCCTGGCGGCGCTCCTGCTAATTCCACAGAATAGAAGTTGTCCTGCATTTGAAATTCTACTGAAGTAACTTCACAAAAGTATTTGCATCCAAATGAAATTAAAGGTGGGGTAGGTAATTCTCTTCAGAAACACTTGTTGTTATATTCCATGGAATGCTCTTAACATCCCGATAGCAATGAATATATTAAATGCTTTGACAATAAATAAATACATAAAAAATGTCATCTGTGGAAGCCGTGGCGCTGTAAAAAGCACGACCAATCATCTGAGCCGGACCAATAACTGGATGGCCTACCTGCCTGTCAGCCTTCCATCTCGTGCACAAACTTATCTCGTGCCCTCATTGGTCATGTGCGCGTTCGTGTGTGTTGGAGGAGGGGCTCTGTAAGGCAGTCTGAAGGAAGGGGCAGATTTTTTTCGGCTGCGTACTTTCAAATGCGAGCGCACTCGAGCTGGTTTCTCCATTCTTACCTACCCTACCTTTAAGGAACCAAAAGTAAAAGTATTTGAAAATATGCAATTTCAGAATCATTAATATATCATATTAGTGTATTTTAATTATTGATGCATTATTTTGAGAAACATTAATTTAAAAAAAGTATTTGAAAGAATATCAAAGTAGTAAAGGTAATAGTACTCATAATGCAGAATGGCTCATATCTTATATTTACTGGATTAATTCTTACAGCATTAATGTGTTCGTCACTTTTTGCTGCTTATGGTAAAGAAGGAACTCTTTAACATACATCTTGGTAGCTTAATCTCGAATAATAAATCATAATTTATTAGTTGCATTAAAAACAAGCCAAGGACTTTTATATTTACTTTCAAAATGAGATGTTGAAAATAGAAACTCAGTAAATAAAAGTGCCTGCAAGTTGTACTAAAGTAGTGTGAGGAAAAGTACTTAGTTACTCCCCACCAATGTTTGCTGGATGGTTTAATCTAAAAATAATACACAATGTTAAATTGATTTTTGCATTATTCATCGGAATATGTAAAGCAAGTTTAGTTAAAAAATAAATGAAGTGAAGTCAAAAGTAGCCTACGACATTTCCCTCTGAGAGGTAACTGCAGAAGAACTACAAGGTAGAAAAATACAAGATATATATATATATAAGACCTAGTACTACCTGAGACGTGTACTAATACGAGGGGGCAGTGACACTAATGTAAAGTCATGCGAAAGCTCCTTTTCAAAAATGCAAAAAAGTCGCTGCAACATGATAGTTCCTCATCAGAGACCAACATGGTTCAAAGTTACGTTAGTGGACAAAAGGCTCTTTAAACTTACTGACAGGAAATTACAACCGACTTTAGCCACTATACCTAACAACAACAACAACAATGGAGCACAGCTGTTCTGCATTAATTCATTAACGCTTCTGAAACACAGCACAACACACTTTTTATTTCGTAAACACAAGCTAGCAGCTAGCCCCCGTATGGCTGATAACTGGTAATTACAAATACACTATGCTACACACAAGTTGTAGAGTGATTTATGTGTGCTCTGTCAGATCATTTTCAGACAACAACTTGTGTAACACTCAGAGAGAGCATTAGTAGCTCATTAGCTTGTGAGTTAGCTACCCGGTTGCTAAAGAAGCTACCTTCAGTTAGTCCGCTGAAAGTCCGATGTTTAGCTCTCAGAAAGATATCCTCACTGTCCGCCATGTTGAAGAAAAGTCCCAAGAAACTTATTTGTGACTTATCAGGGAACTTCCGAGGAGATTTGTCGGGTGTTTTCCAGCTGTCTGTGCCGCTCTGTTGTGATTATGAATCTATCGGGGGTCGACTACAATGCCTGTTCCATCCTGAGTGTGTGTGGCTTTCCCCCGTGTGGCTGCAACATGTACTCAAATCTGGTACTTTGGTAAAATTAGAAATATTACAGTGTAAAAATACTCTGTTACAAGTTAAAGTCCTGCATTTAAAATCTTACTTATGTAAAAGTACAAAAGCATTCTCATCAAAATGTACTTAAAGTCATAAACACCCCTTATAGCCTACAGTATGAAATAACTGGATTATTTTAGTGATGCATTAAAGTGTCAAGCTGTTAAAGGTGGAGCTACTTTTAATAACTTTATATACTGCTGCTGGATATATAAACCTGTAATTATACATCAAAATGTATTTATTAGTTTCTTTAGATTTGGTTTTAGCTAATTATCTGAATCTGTAAACTAATAAGTAACTACTTTTGTCAAATAAATGCAGTGGAGTAAAAAGTACAATATTGGCTTTCTAAATGTAGTGGAGTGGAAGTATGAAGTAGCATAAAATTAAAATACTACCCAAAATAGTACTTACAATACTTGAGTAAATGTACTTGACTATAACAAACCAGGTACAGCCTACGATTAAGTATAGATTATAACATTCATTTTCTTAAGTATGCAGACTGCTTTTGTCTAATTCTCTTCAGGTTTTGGATGTAATTAGATGACATTAAACCTGTAGTCCAGAAAATGTGCACTTCTTGATAAAAACTCACCCCCAGCCCAAAAAAGTTGACAAAAAGGAGGTACCATGGACAGAGACAGGGGGCTTTCAGCACCATGGACAGAGGTAGTTAATACAATTCAGCCTGATCCCCGACTCTCTTTTTATCTGAAGATACTACTCATCTGGCAGCTTTAATGTTAAATAAAATGTTAGAATGACAGTTAAAAGTCCACCTTTAATGACTCCAGTAGGCTCAAAAACCATTAGAGGTTTGCTTTTTAACCATTAAAGGTCCCATGTCATGGCCATTTCTACTGATCAGATTTCCATTGTTGAGGTCTACTAGAATAGATTTAAATTGTGCAATTTTCCAAACTCACATTGGTTTCTCATACAGCATCTCTGTATAGTATGTGTATTCTGTATAGTATGTGTATTCACTCTCTGTCCTAAACGGCTTGTTGGAGCTCCTGCCCCCCCCCCCCTCCCTGTGAGCCCAGTGGCCGTCTGCGAGACAGCGAGACACAGCGAAACCCAGCCCGAACACACACACACACACACCCGCAACCTGGCTGGGAGTTTGTGTGTGTGCTCACACACCGACTCACATTCTCGCCGCGTCCCGCCGTCTCAGGGAGGAGAAATCGGTGGAGCTGCAGCTGAGAAAAGATTGAGTGTGTGTGAGGAAGTCCACGGATTGGTCCATTTAGACCAATCCACGGACTTAACGTAACGGCTCCACGGATTGGTCCATTTGAGTATGGGCACGTCACTGTACCCAGGAAGAAAAAGAGAAATCCCCAACGAGGCGTTCTGGGGCAGCATAGACAGGTCTTTTCTGTGTTAGAGTTTTACTCGCTACAGGGTGTACTTTGAGGGTTTGTGACTCTGCAGACCGTTTACATGCATACAAAGCTACATAACACACAAGGGGACGGGTAATAACCAGAAAAGCATGACATGGGACCTTTAAATTAAAAACCGGCCACTTACCTACACGTTTGTTTTTGCAAAAATGTAAATGTTTGCCAAAAGATATTTCTATTCTATCCATCTCAAAGCACCTCTTTTATCACAATGCACCTGTTGGACAAAAAGAGACAACAAAGAAAGCAACTGCACTTGAAAAATGTGAAATAAAATAAACTATTGCAATGACTCTGATACCATTTATTTGTATTCAGTAAGGGACATTTTCCAATCAGACAGAATGTAAGATTGAGGCTCTTCACTTTTCTCTCTCTGTTTAAGCTTTATGTCCATGAGGATTTAAGTATCTTATGTGTGTTTTGTGATACATTTAAACCAAGGAGCTGATTCTCATGAGCACCACTTCTTAAGAACCCTTTCTGTTTCTTAGAAAGTCCCCAGGGATCCTGTGGGCATTGCTTCCTGCTGGGCCACTTCATTGTTCAGGGGCTATTTTTCCAAATGTATCCCCTGCTTAAGAAGCTGGCACATTATTGTTATTTAAGGATTTCCAAAACAATGGCAACCTACGACAGAGAATGGATAAAGTGGGGGGGGGGGGGGGGGGGACGCTCCCACGCCTTTTCCTCGACGACAAAACCGGACAGTGATGCGCGTATTCCGGGGCTTTTATTGTAATATTTCACAAAAAAATGCTCTCTCTCTTCCTCATCCCTCGCAGTCTCACTCCCTCCCCATGCGTCCTCCTCCTCTCCTTTTGCGCACCAGGCTCTCCCACCCTCGCCTCTTCTCTTCTCTCACTGCGCTCTCAGCGTCGGTGCAGCTTGTGTCTCTGCCTACTCCTGTGCGTAAGAGCGCACCAATGGATATGTAAAGTGATGCACTCCTGAACAATCTGAGCCTGCAAGTGCGTTTCTGAGACAGATGGAGAGATAAATACATTTCCACGGAGGTTGTTTTTCATTCTGCGCGTTTCTTTTGGATGCATAAAGATGTTGATCGGCGCGGATGACGGTGCGTCGCTATTTGGATGTGTGTTTCTGGACTTTTTTCTAGCGTATCATGACCGTGCGCCCCTTTTCCTCTCTCCAAGTCTTTTCGTTTGAAGTTGAACGGAGGAGAGGGCACCATGAGAGGGAAATACTTTCTCCTCGGCTTCTTGTTGCTCAAACTTATGGCTCTGGTGTGCAAGGCTGACGGGGAGCCGGGACTGCTCGGAGGATTCGTCATGATCGCCACCTCCAACGGCTCAAGGGAGGAGGAGAGCGTGTCCGAGGAGACCCCGCACACGGAGGACAAGTGCCGGGGTTACTACGACGTGATGGGCCAGTGGGACCCGCCGTTTGTCTGCAAAACGGGCAACTACCTGTTCTGCTGCGGCACCTGTGGCTTCCGCTTCTGCTGCTCCTACAAACACTCGCGGCTGGACCAGAGCACCTGTAAGAATTACGACACTCCGATGTGGATGAAGACCGGACAGACTCCCTACAAAAAGATCAACAAGCTGATCGACACCACCAAAGACAAGACGAACTTAATCGTTTACATCATATGTGGAGTAGTGGCCATCATGGCTCTTGTGGGGATTTTCACCAAACTGGGGCTGGAAAAGGCGCACAGGCCTCAGAGAGAGAACATGTCCAGGTGAGTCTCCCCCCTCTCTCATTCCTTCCCTTTTTCTCTCACCCTCTCCTCAGTGCGCTTGTTTACAAAAGGACTCGCAGTAGTAGCCTACGCACGCACTGATGTGAAGCGCTCTTTTCTTCATCAGTGCACAACACAAGTATATTTATATATATGGAATCAATGGTCCTGCTTGTAATGCATTATGTTTCACACAGGCTCTGGTTTCTTGGCAACCAGAGCAACTCTTCTCTATGGGAGAAAAAGTGCTGCATGCTCTGTCCACTCCAGTCTATCCATCCTTTGTGGTGTATGGCACAACATTACGTGCAGCTACTCTCCCCTTCAGGCGGGGGCGGGTGCATTTCACTAGAATAAAGCAGCATTTGCACTCCATTGTGTATAATGAAGGAGATACAATGCGTTCACACACCTTCATAGTGGAATGTAGTAGGCAGGAGCAGCAGAAACAGCACACTTTCATCAGGTAATCACATGTATTTCCAATTGGCTGCACCTTACAGATTCAATAAAATGGGTTGGTTGTGACTCTGGGGGGTGAATGGGAGTCTATAATCAAAGGCTTGGTGGTTCGATACCCTTCCCCTTCGGTTGAAGTATCCTTAAGCAAGATACTTAACCACCAAAATCGCTCCTGTAGGCAAATTGTATCAATCAAATGTTATTCAAAGCCCGATATCACAAATGACAAGTCTCAGGTGGCTTTACAGTGAGTACAGCATCTGTCCTTTGACCCTGGGACCTATAGACTCACAAATAACACCTTTGGAAAAATGGAAGAAAGGTTAGGGAGAGCAACATGTCTACGCTATATATGAGGTAATCACATGTATTTACAATTGGCTGCATCGAACAAGTCCATTGAAAAGGGGTTAATGTCACTCAGTCAACCAATCTCTTCAGTCAACACGTTGAAGTGTCCTTAAGAAGGATACTTAACCCAAAATTGCTCAGGTAGTCACATTTTATCAATCAAACATTATTTGTATAACCCATATCACACGTTATACACATCTCAGGGGGCTTTACAGTGTGTACAGCATCTGTCATTAACCCTAGACTACCAAAGAAACCCCACAATTAACATGGACAAATGGAAGAAACCTCTGAAAAAGCGACATGTCTGCAATATTGAAGTGTTCAGTATGTTCGCTAAACAGGGTTGGGGGGGTGACTTTAAGAATGTAATCAGTAATTTAATCTGAGTATCAAAATATAAAAGTAATGCAACCTTCCGTTACCTCAATATCAAATGCAATGCAAATTAATAAAAGAGAAAAAAAATAACAATAAGATGTCTTAAATGTATATTATGTAAGACAACAGGACAATGTGATTGACCTTTTCTTGTATCCTGGTGCTCAATCCCATTACATGTAATCCGTTACTCCCCAAGCCTGGCGCTCAATGACGTAATGAAACCATTCTGTGCAGCAGTTTCAATTAAGGATGTTATTTACAGCTTCTCATGTCTGCCTGCCCCCCCCCCCCCCTTCTCTCTCTGCAGGGCCGTGGCCAGTGTGCTGCAGGGCGGGTGTCCAGGTGAGCCGTATCGCGGGGAGGAGGCCCTCGGGATGCATTCGCAGCACTTTGTTTCCAGGGCCACAAACCTCCGTGAGTGTTTTTAATGTTTTGGACAGCTCATTACAGCATACAGAGGTGTGTGTGTGTGTGTGTGTGTGTGTGTGTGCGAGTGTGTCAGCAGAAAAAAGCTGCTTGAATGTGTCCAGGTTGGCCCTGATGAAGTCATCTGAAGTGATGTAAGGATGCGAGAGCGACTCACTCGTCCCAGCTGGGCTCTTTTAAAAAACCACGTTCATATCTGCCTGAGAAAATCCTCAAATACACACACACACACACACACACACACACACACACACACACACACACACACACACACACACACACACACACACACACACACACACACACACACACACACACACACACACACACACACACACACACACACACACACACACACACACACACACACACACACACACACACACACCTATCTCGCACCGGCCAGATATCCATCCATTTCATAACGAAAGAGAATATGTGCCTGCTTTTCAAAACCAGCCGTTATTCACTGTTTTATTTTGGATCATGCCCACATGATATAATGACAGAGAGAAAAGAGTGTGTGTGTGTGTGTGTGTGTGTGTGTGTGTGTGTGTGTGTGTGTGTGTGTGTGTGTGTGTGTGTGTGTGTGTGTGTGGTGTGGAAGTAAGTGGTGGTGATGTTTGTGTAGGGGGATTGTGAGGCGGGTGCTGGGAGTTTGAAGGGTGGTGGTGGTGTTGGTGGAACAGAGCGTATGAATGCCATCTATTTTCTGCTGCGTCCCGTGGGCTGCTACTGTACCAAGCTTCTTTGTCTTTCTAACACTGAAGATCAAACAGATGAATCCACACAAAAACACACACTCATTCCAATATGTACAGACCCGAGCATACAGTACACACACACAGTCACACACAGCGTTCGGATCCCCTTAAAGTTGCATCATATTTTCTTGTGCCAAGACAAAAAGCAGATCTTAGATGAATTTGTGAGACGTATAGGGACTGCACTCACACTGGGCTTATTAGAGGACTGTGTTTCTATCAAGCTATACATGAACAGCACCCTGAACGATATATCTAACTGCAGCCGAAATCTGTTGAAATCGCATGTTCAAAATCTTGCCGTTTTGTCTGCGTTTCACCTCTTTGGTGCACAGCAAGGCAAATCAATTTGAACCAGTTTCTAAAGCTGTTTGAAAGTCGTAGTTTCTGGAAAAGTTAAGAGATGGCAAATGGATGACATTATTTGGCACATTTTGGGACAACACATAAGGAATTGTGTTGGTATTGGGCCAGTTTTGATAGCTAAAGAATGTTTACCTTGTAGGTGCTTGAGGGGGGTCGCACTGAATGCTTGTTTTTGCTGGACATTTGTAGGGACATGCATGACAAATAACACAAATGCTTCTCGGAAGATATCAGACAAACCCTGGTCTGAGGTTACGGTGCGTGATAGGATACTTGGGTTGAGAACAAAGCACACTTTTTGGGTCGTGAAAACAACATTCACTCTTATGCCATCTATCCTCTATTAAAGGTGGGGTAGGTCATTTTGGAGAAACCAGCTCGAGTGCGCTAGAATTTGAAAATACACAGCCGGAAAAAAATCTGCCACTTCCTTACAGAGCCCCTCCTCCAACACACACGAACGCACACATGACCAATGAGGGCACGAGATAAGTTTGTGCACAGATGGAAGGCTGACAGGCAGGTAGGCCATCCAGTTATTTTAGCAGGGCCGGCTCAGATGATTGGTCGTGCTTTTTACAGTACTACGGCTTCCACAGATTACATTTTTTTATGGATTTTTTGTCAAAGCACTTCAGATATTCATTGCTATCGGGATGTTAAGAGCATTCCATGGAATATAACAAAAGTGTATCTCGAGCCGGTTTCTCAAACTTACCTACCCCACCTTTAAAGGTACACTCCAGTCTTTGTTAAAACACCGAAAGCATCCCTCAATTGTATTTTACAGTTTATCTGTGGTTCAAGATTCAAGGCTTTCATTGTCATGTGTGCATAGCTACAGTGTAGTTATGACAATGACAATATCAGGTCACAGGCTCCTCTAACAGTGCAACACAATAACACAGATACAAGTGGAAGTAAATACAATAAAATAGAATATAATAGAAATAGTGCAGAATAGTCTATATACAAGTAATTTGAATATTGATATATGAGTTGCAACCAGATGAATGTTATGAATGATCTTTCAAAACGTCAGGTGTTTAACAGTCTTATGGCCTGTGGGAGGAAGCTGTCCCTGAGTCTGGTGGTTGGGATTAAACCGTTTTCCTGGGAGTTGTGGGGCAGTATTGAGTGCTATAACAGACTGAAAGACAGGAAGTGTTCATGTAAGGAAGTGTTCTGGGTGGTGGATAACTACTTCTGTGTGCAAGAATGAGATAAACATGTAATCCTACAACAGCATCCCCTGGCTATGACAAGGTGACGTAACCCTACTCAGCATGAAGCACTGCGCCCACTGACACCATCAACATCAGGATGAGAGCACAGCTCGTGGAAAAGGGGAAAGAAAGGTTGCATTCATTAAAATGATTTGTTTTCAGAGAGGAGAGGAGAGGAGAGGGGCTCAGTATGAAAAAAAGTGCAACCATGAAAAGAGATGAATAACACTCTCCGTAGGTGTTGGGGTCCTCGAGTTTCCTTCCTCGCTGTGGGAGAGATGAGATAGCGTGGTGGCCTTTCACCCGAGGACACTGCTGTGAAATAGCGATTATTATTTGCTATGTGGAACCTGCTCCACCGGACCTTTTAATCCTGGGGGTTGTGGGTAATCATGTGAAAAGTTATTAACCTCTGCGATACGGGGGATCCTCCTCGAGAGCCACCTTATCGGTTCGAGGGCCCTTTTGCCGGTCCAACAGACACGATTCATCACGGGGAGGGGAGGGGAATTAGATATGGATTGGCTGGATGTGGACATGTTATTCTTGATTCGAGTGATTAAGCGAAGATATATAGACTGTAAAGGGCGAGAGGGTTTTTCATCAAGAAGCCAATGATAGTGTAAAGAGAGAGGAGATTGTAAAGTTGAGGGCTTTGGCTGATCGATGTGGCCAAAATCTTTCACACAAGTAACTTCATATATTTATAATGATATACTGTATGTAGGATATGCTATGGTGTCTGGTATCTTAATAGATGAATAGTCCAGATGAAATCACTACGGTAAACAAAACGCTGCAAGAAGATCAAAACACATTGGAAACGGGGACACTAAAAAGTGACGCACACAGCTGGGACCGGAGCACTTGTTGATTTGGGGGGTTTATAAAGTTGGCCAACTGTTGTAAATAACCCATAGTAAAGCTTATGTAAACTAAAAAGTTGTATCTCAAGCAAAAGAAGCTGCAAAATGAACATTATAGTTTCGAGTGAAGTTATAAATACTTCCAACTACACACTGACTATGTTAAGATGCATTAGGGCGGGGCAATATATCGATTGTGTGATATTGCATGTGTGTTTCCCTGGTTTTCAAAGTAAAGTGATTTCATTTTTTGGACGTACTAGTTTTCTTTTTAACTGATTCATAATTGCCTTAACACACTTAGCCATGTTATCCCCATCACTGATGATAATCAAACATTTTATGCGGATAATATTTAGTAAATCCTATAGTCAACAATACGACTTTGTTGCAATATCGATATCGAGGTATTTGATCAAACTTTTTTTTTTATTTTTTCTCCATATGGTCCCACCCTGCAGGCACAACAATAGGTTGGTTTTGATTCAATTTTCTGATCAATTTGAATGCCTGTGTTCTCGTTATTATCAATTTAGAGATTGTAAGTATGTATTACGGTATCTCTATACAGCGCAGGACTTTGCTAGAAAATCCATTTTTACTACTAACTACATATTGATTATAGCTTATGGTCAGATTGCCCTATTTCACGCATCACTGACTCAAGTGTTGCAGGTCATGGCTACTTATATTAGTGGAGGAAACTCCTTAGGGCCATGTGCGTCTGTCTGTCACAGAATACTATTATTATAAAAAGGTATCACTGATGACCACAGCTGTTATCATGTATAGGTTTCCCCCTGCAAGCATTCGCAAAAAGAGGTACAGGAAGCAAACAAAACCCCCCTATTCCCTTCACTATGCTGAGTCAGGCTCATTTGTAATCATTAACCCATGTACCAGTGAGAAAGTATCAATTAGTGATACAGGAGCCCGAGGCATGTGTTCGTTATGTTGTGGGACCCTGTGAATATCCACGAGGGGCCCCCCTGCAACCGACTGCATATAAAGAAAAGAGGCTTTGTGAAGCAGAGATCCCCAGGTGGGCCCGTCGTCTGGCAGACTTTCATATCATCTCCGTTTGAATCCTTTAAAAGGCGGAAAATCCTGCGTCTCTTCGCATCTGGCTTCAAAGAGCTGGAGAGAGAAAGAAGGGAGGGATGGAGGGAGAGGGGGGGGGAACAGTGGAAGGAGAAGGAACAATGAAATGTGAGGAGTCAAGAGATTTTATACCCTTTTTCCAAACGGTACAAGCACGTACATAAAAGGATTTTTAAGCGCGGCAAAAAAATACAGAAAATAAGCGATAGACTCCTTTCCAAATCCCAAGAATCAAGTTTGACTTTCTTGGTGTGTCTCGCCAGAAATAAGGGTTAGCAGACAGTACAAAGCAGCTTGGAGGCAAGTCACAATGTTAATGGCTTATACCAAAGTAGCTGGTTGTAAATACTAAAAAGGGACAATTTGGATGGCTTTCTGTCTCTGTCGTAGAACTTAAAATGACTGGTTCTGTCAGTGGAGTCTGGTGGCTTTGCAAAGAGCGCATACGATTTCATTTTCATGTCTCACGGTGTTGATTAGTTTCTTTGTTTCTCCAGAGTTTGAATGAAGTGTTTTTGCAATAATCGGCAAGTCAAATGACAGGTTTTGTCAATAGAGTCTGGTGGCTTTGAGGAGAGAGTATAACAATTCATGTTCACATCTAACTCAGGAATTCATGTCTTTTGTTCAACCAAACTCGAGATGGCGGTTGTTGAAACCAAGAC